GGGGGGGTCCACACGCGGGGGAAGGGACGAGGGCAGGCGATGTCGTCCGACCAAGGGAGGACAACGAAGCACTGGTGAACAGGGTGCGTCAGCGGTATACGTGGGATGGAATCGAGGYGGCGTCGAAGCTATGGGTGGATGACCTCCGCYTCGGGAATGAAACGGAAGGGAACGACGTAGTGAAGTTGATACCGGAAGCGCGCCTGTATCTTGTTGTGGTGGTGCGGGGAGTGCAAATTCCAGCCGTTCGTCGAAGCATYGTCTTGCCTGATACCACCATCCCGCAACACAAAATTGACGACRAATCGGAGTTGAACCTTGCGAAGGAGAGGGYGTTCAAAGTGCAAACCATCGCTTTGYGGGTGATCCACGGGTGGGTCTTCAAGTCGACGAGCAGGCATACGGGTACGTGTTGAACCACGCGGCCACTGACATCACCCGCGCGATCGAGATGGGTGAGGACTGGCATATATGTGTGAGCCCCATGGTGTTCCAAATGAATCCACATTAYGCTRGACATGGATATGAAGCTGCCACTGTGGTTCGTCRGCGCCSACATTGAAGACARGCACGAGAACGACGATTTGGCTGCGTATCAGGAGGCGAGCATCCARAGACTRGTGGGGGCTTTCACGAGCACCGTGAGCATGGCGGAGGGGATCGACGGYRGTCGGGTRTCGCWCGAAAGGTTGAAGAGTGTTGCCGATGCGATGAGGATCATGCTCGCAGCGACCATGTGGCTCACGCRRATGAGTGGGGATGATCATCGCGCGCATTACAACGAGTGGGTGTTCATCCAACTGACAGCAAAGCCAACGCTCATCGCATACATGCATCGCTCGTTCGTTCACGCGCGACACCATATCATGCAAGTTGCGACCGTCATCACGGATAAGTTGGCCAAACCCCCCATGACTTTGGTAGCCCCTCCATTGTACATCCCCGACTGGGCGTCAATCAACCTGAAGTTCTCACATGACGCCACGTTGTCCTCCCCCATGGAGGCAAAGAAGCTCGATTGGTTGGGCACAAGCCCCCACGAAGACGAAGCCGACGAGGAAGGGAGGGGGGGGGGTTGATGACGCGTTCACGGCGCCCGTCCTCGACGTCGCCATCGTAGGGTGGGATAGGGTGGTTGTCGTATTTCCCGCAGAGACGGTGATGTGGGATGCGGGACGCGCGAAGGGGGGATGGTGTGTGTGGGGGGGGGTGTTTGGGGGCGTTGTGCATGTGCGTGTTCGTCGTGCTTGTTGGTTTATCTCGCGCGCTGCTGCTCTGACGTCACTTGGTTCGACACTCGTCGGCAATCGTCGTGCC